CATTTAGAAGTCAGCTGAAAGCGAAGGTACGCTTCTTAATCTCCAGCTATAGTTATTTTCCATGCCCTGTACGTAGCTATAGTATTTTTACTCATATTTCATTCTACATGCGTTTTCTTTGGGTTTTTTTTTTTTTTTTTAAACTTCTGATGTTTTTTTATTTTTTATTTTTCAGATCGTTATTTGGCTTCCTCTTCTTGGGTTACCCTTCCATCTCTGTAGTTAATTTTTCAGCAAATTAATGTCTCTCCAACTGCATGTTTTCAGCTTTGAGCATTAAGAAGTGAAAGCGAAGGTACGATTCTTAATCCCCAGCTATAGTTATTTTCCATGCCCTGTACGTAGCTATAGTATTTTTACTCATTTCATTTTACATGCGTTTTCTTTGGGTTCTTTTTTTTGAACTTCTGATGTTTTTTTTTAAAATTAGTTTTCAGATCGTTATTTGGCTTCTTCTTCTTGGGTTACTCTTCCATCTCTGTAGTTAATTTTTCCAGCAAATTAATGTCTCTCCACCTGCATGTTTTCAGCTTTGAGCATTAAGAAGTGAAAGAGAAGGTACGATTCTTAATCCCCAGCTATAGTTATTTTCCAAGCCCCATAGCTATAGTATTTTTACTCATATTTCATTTCACATAGGTTTTCATTGGCTTTTTTTTCGGAGTTCTGATTTTTTTTTTCCCAGATCGTTATTTGGCTTCCTCTTCTTGGGATAACTCTTCCATCTCTGAAGTTAATTTTTTCAGCAAATTAATGTCTCTCCGCCTGCATGTTTTCAGCTTTTAGCATTAAGAAGTCAGCTAAAAGCGGAGGTACGCTTCTTAATCCCCAGCTATACTTATTTTCCGAGCCCTGTATCTATAGCATTTTTACTCATTTCATTTTACATATGTTTTCTTCGGCATTTTCTTTCGAACTTCTGATTTTTTTTATTTTCCAGTTCATTATTTGGCATCCTCCTCTTGGGTTACTCTTCCATCTTTGTAGTTAATTTTTTCAGCGAATTAATGTTTCTCCACCAGCATGTTTTCAGCTTTTAGCATTAAGAAGTCAGCTAAAAGCGGAGGTACGCTTCTTAATCCCCAGCTATACGTATTTTCCGAGCCCTGTATCTATAGCATTTTTACTCATTTCGTTTTACATATGTTTTCTTTGGCATTTTTTTTCGAACTTCTGATGTTTTTTTATTTTCCAGATCATTATTTCGCATCCTCTTCTTGGGTTACTCTTCCATCTCTGTAGTTAACTTTTTCCAAGCAATTTAATGTCTCTCCACCTGCATGTTTTCAGCTTTGAGCATTAAGAAGTAAAAGCGAAGGTACGCTTCTTAATCCCCAGCTATAGTTATTTTCCAAGCCCTGTAGGTATATAATAGTATTTTTACTCACATTTCATTTTACATACGTTTTCTTTGGCTTTTTTTACGAACTTCTGATGTATGTTTTCTTTTTTTTAAGATCGTTATTTGGCTTCCTCTTCTTGGGATACTCTTCCATTCTTATGGTTAATTTCCAGCAAATTTCTCCACCCTCGTGCTTTCAGTTTTGAGCATTGACAAGGTACGCTGGTCTTAATCCCCAGCTATAGATATTACTAGCTGCATTATTTTTACTCAAAATTCATTTTACCATGTGTTTTCTTTTGCCTTTTGCCATCTTTTCGTAGGATATATATGTAATTAAGTATGACTTCAAATCGTTACTTCATTGTGTGTGTTTTTTCTTCATTTTTGTTGAATAATCCCTATACATATACTACTATCACTACAAGAAAAATGATTTTTAGTGACAGAAATTTGTGATAAATTTTAAAATTATCATTATAACTTATCATAATTGTGACAAATTTAAAAAATTAACCAGAGATACATATTTAATGATGAAAAAAAATATTCATCATAAAAAATAGTCACTAAAAAAATGTTTATAGAGATAAAATAAGTTTTTGTTGATAAAAAATTATCACTATAATGTGTTATAATTATGTGTTATAATTATGACGATTTTAATATTGGTCACATATATCTTACATATTCAATGATGATCAAATAATTTATCACAGAAACATTTGTCACTAAAAAAAATTGGCAATTTTTTTTAATTAGTGTATCTCACATCGATAAAAAAACAAAAAAATTAGATTTTGTACTATAAATATATCCTACATCAATAAGAAATATTTAAATATTTAAGAAAATAAATTTTTTCATTCTAAAACATGTGAAATTCAATTGAACTTGAGATCATTTTGGGTTTAATTAATTTTAATTGGGTTTGATTTATTTTAATCGAGTTTGATTAATTTTAATCAAAATTAATTAGTATTGAAATAATAATATTTTTTATTAAATTTTTATGATAAATTTATATATTATTTTTTTGACAAATTGTGTTATAATTATATAAATATTTTTTTATTTAATATCAATTTTAATAATTAATAATTAAATTTTGCATTATAATTATATTTGTGATGAATATTTTTTGTGATGAATAAAATTATTATAAATAATTTGTTAACAATGTTAATTTTTTTTATCATTATAAAATTATTTTTTATGATAGATGTTTAATTTGTCATTAATAGCATTAGTGACCAGGGTTTTACTAACTGTTTAAATTTTAAATTTTATCATTAATAATAATTTGTGACGAAAAATGAAGATTTAATGATCAATAATTTAATCACTAAATATAAATTTTCTTGTAGTGTATATTGAACATAACATAGATAATATTAGGTGATTTAATTAGTATTGTTTAAATATATTTTTATTTAGAAACTTTTTAATTCTTGATTGTCTTTTAATTCATTAGAACATCTATTTATTCTTAATTATATTATGTCTTTAATTAATATAATGATGAATATCTTATAAAATTTAAGAATATTCCATTAGAAAAACTTGGACATGTAACAAAAATGAAAAATTTCAAAGCTAAAAATGCTGTGTGGACACTACAACGTGGGTAGCGGCACTCTTGTTTATTTCATCCTACAGCCATATATACAATGAGCAATTTAGTTTTATTCACTTAGATCCGTGAAAGTGACTTTACTTTTCCTAATACAGTCCCTCAACTTTTAAAGAATATTTAATTAAATCCAAAAACTTCTTTTATTATACATTTAAATCCTTTTCTGTACGAAAAATAAAAATTTGTATAAATTCTATTAAAACCACGTCCTATCCATCTATCAAAAAGAAAGAAAAAAATCAAGTGTAAAATAAGAAATTAAAATATATTATAGGCTTAAATCCAAGAAAAAAAAAGCAAGCTTAAAGCTGGGCCAACTCACACAAGCCCCACATTGTCAATATTATCAGGCAACGCCCAAGAGATGAGGAAACAATAATACTAAAATGGAAAAAAATCCGAATCAATTTAAAATTTTCTGAAACCAAATCGATAAAGGGGAACCAAACTCCATTGGTTTTTGATGCAGAGCAATTGAAAGTTAAATTATCAAATATGTTATCATTAAATGTCATCAGTACTTGATAATTCTCTCGTAGTGAAAGTGTTTCAGAGGGTATACTTGTGGAAGGAGTCAAGATGCTCGGGCAACGCAATTAGAGAACCATGAGTTAAATGATAAAATGTTTCAAAAATTGAAGTGAAGTTTAATTTGATTTGGATTAGTTAGTTTACAAATCTTCATAATTAATATTAGAGCTTTAATTTTTATAAAATTAGAACTGATATGCATTATTTTTTAAAATTAATTTATTTTAGAAAATAATAAAAATCAAAACATCAAAAAATATATATAAAATTATTTGAACATCTTTAATAAAATGTTTTTATATATCAATTTATTAAAAATATTAAAATTTTTTTATTATCAATCTTAATACTTTAGTACGGCAATCCTTTGTCTTAATCACCCACAGCCATTAATCGGACATCCCAAATTGTACGGGGGGACGAAGGGAGAAGTAAAGACCAACATAATGTTATGTACCTTACGGCAGAATATTTACCCTCACATGTTATTACTTTTGCTAGGGGGCCTGAGCCCAAGCAGCAGCCCATATGTGAATGGTTTTGGGGCTTGGTGGTAAACGGGGCCCAACAAAAGTTTTTTTACCTGGCTGGCCTGATCATGTGAGTTTTTTTTGACTCTTATCGTGTGGTATGGATCAGGATGAGTCTGCATGAGATGGCTATTATTTTCCCCATGGTAGATTTGAGCGGTACATATGTTTTGCCCTCAGAAAAAGGGGTTTTAATATTTAGTTCACTTCAGGACAGGCGTATCGTTCCTTGTCAGTTTCACCACCAACATGAAATTAGGTTTCAAGCTCTTTTACATTTTGGACTGATAATTTTTTTAAAGAAGAATATTTTATTTTTAATTTGAACTTATATTATAAAATAATAATTTTTAGATAAAAATAACTTTTAATATTAAATATTTATCTTTATTTAATGATTTTTTTATAAAAATTTATTTAATAATGTAAATTATATAATGTAACATAATATAATTTATATTACACGATATTTTTTTCTTCTCTTAACCTCGAGTGTTGTCTTAACTTGAAGCACGACTTTTATTTTCAATTTATGTTACCTTAAGGAATTTTTTTATTTAAAAAAAAGCTTTATTATAAAAAGTATTAAGTAGTATTTAAATACCCTACACCTGCAAGTAACCCACAAGTATTTATTTAGTAAGATTACTTGTGCCTTGTGGGTTACTCTTAAGGATTTATGACCTATTATAGAGAGATTTTTTTATTTTATTAACTAAATTTGATTTATTAAAAACATTGCGATAGCTTAATTTTTCATAAATTTTTTAGTCTTAGTATATCTTAGGCAATGAATCAATATTACAAAGAAAAGAGTCATGTTAAATGGAATTGAAGTTAATAATTACGGATGTTATTACTTATCCGAGGTGAATGTTAATAAAACAGTGCGAACAAGGACATGCACATTGAATATATTATTAGTGGAAATGCAATGATCAAATTTAACATCATATAATGATTCATCTTAAAAAAAAAAAATTTAAACATCAGAATGCAAGGTGGGACAAATTGAATAATTTTAAATTGTTTTAATTATTGAGATTTGGTTGTTTAATTATATAGAAATGAAA